GAGCTGGGGTACAGGCCAGAGGTGGGGTGTATGTGTCTAAGAGGATTCACCAGAGACAGAGTGGGGACCAGGACAGGCAGACTGACTGAAACACACTGCCCAGGGGAGCAGTGGGCATGGCAGGAGAGGTCTGCTGTGCCATGTGGGTCTCTTCCTGGCCAGGCCATGGATCGAACTCGTGCTGCAGAGGCTGTGGATTGATTCATAGTGCTGTGCTTAACCCCTTCTGCCACCAGGGAGGCTTTTAACAAGCACTGGGATGATGTCAAAGGTCTGTTGCTAGCAGGGGCTAGCATAGCTGTCATCCAGAAAGAGCCCATGGTCTTATTTTCAGGCCATTTCAAAGACCCTGTGGCTTTATGACATTTATCAAAATGCAAAAGAGATAACTTCAAGTATCATACAAACCAATGAGAAGGAAATCAACATCAAGAATAATATTTTGGGGCCTCCCTGGTGGTGCAGCGGTTGAGCGCTGGGTTGCAAAGCTGCCCGCAGCCTCTGCAGCGCTGGTTCGATCCCCAGCCGCTGGCAAGGGTCCCACATGGCGTGGCAGACCTCTCCTGCTGCCCGCTGCTCCCCTCAGCAGGGTACTTCGGTCCTTCTGCCTGTTCTGCTCCCTGCTCTGGCCCTGGTGACTGTACCCTCCCATGCTTCTGACTGTACCCAGTGCTTGTATAATAAATAAAATAAATCTTTTTTAAAAAAAGAATAATATTTTGGATAAAAATATTTAAGTGAACTGTATCTCCTTGAATGGAGAAGTAATTACAGAATTTAAAGGTCATAAACATGCCTGGCTTTTCGGAACCCTACTCTCATATTACTTTTCTTCAAGATGGCTCTAGTTGCAGAGTCCTTGGAATGGCATCTGGTCAAGGTCAGAGGCAGCTGGGGTGCAGGAGCTGCTGCATCTGTGCTGGTAACATCTGGTCCAAAGCAGAGCCACCTCAGAAACCTGGAGGTTTTTTTTCTGAGTACTGGGCTTAGGAGAACCAGCCGTTTTGTCAAGCGATCCTACTCAAGTGTTAAAGTGAAGCAAAATTTAAGAAATTTTAAATTTGAACATGTCCAAGGAATATAATAGCTATCCTGACTTGTAGTGCTCTGCATGTATTACCTCACTTAATCCCCTCACCAAATTTATGGGGCCATCACTATTTTTATACCTATTTTTCTTTTTTTTTTTAATAATAAATTTTATTTTTATATTCCCATACAATTGCAGCCCCCCCATTCTGACCCCAATCTCTCTCCTCCCACCCCCGCCCCTTAAAAGTGTCTCTGGTTCGTAGTTTTTTGTTGATTTTGATTTTCACTTTCTTATAGTTATTTGTTTTCCTGGTCCCTTATTTTAGTTTTCTAGATTCCTGCTATGAGTGAGACCATCCGGTATTTTTCTTTTTCTTTTTGGCTTATTTCGCTGAGCATGATCCCTTCCAGCTCCATCCATGTTGCTGCAGATTGCATGTGTTTATCTTTTTTGAATGCTGAGTAATATTCCATGGTGTATATGTACCACATCTTCTTGATCCAGTCATCTATTTTGGGCATTTGGGTTGTTTCCAAAGCTTAGCTATTGTAAACAGTGCTGCTATAAACATAGGGGTGCAGGTGTTCTTTGGAATTGATGTTTCTGTGTCCTTTGGGTAAATACCTAGGAGTGGAATTGCTGGATCATATGGAAGCTCTATGTTTAGTAGGTCCAGAAATCTCCACACAGCTCTCCACAGTGGTTGGACCAGTTTGCACTCCCACCAACAGTGCAGAAGAGTTCCTTTTTCTCCACACCCTCGCCAACATTTGTTGTTGCTAGTTTTTTTAATATGTGCCATTCTCACTGGTGTAAGATGGTATCTCATGGTAGTTTTGATTTGCATTTCCCTGATTACAAGTGATGCTGAACATTTTTTCATATGCCTGTTGGCCATTTGCATTTCCTCTTCAGAGAAGTTTCTTTTTAGCTCTTCTGCCCATTTTTTGACTGGATTATTTTCTTTGTTGTTGTTGAGTCTCATCAGCTCTTTGCAGATTTTTGTGATCAGTCCTTTATCATTAGTGTTGGGTGCAAAAATGTTCGAGCTTAAAGAAGGCGAGACACTCGCCCATGGCCCTACATCTGGAGAGTGGCAGCACAGAGATTGGACTCACTTCTGCTCTACTCCAGAATCCCACGTATCCATCCACATGATAAATCCACTGATTGTTTGGAATTTTCTGTGAGTATTTCGGCTGCTGGAAGCAGTGTGCTCTTGTTTCCCTCAGCTGCATTCTAAATATTTTTTACAAAGCAGTCTTTTAATTGTTTAATTAGCCTGGTTCCCCAAAGATAAAGCTCTTTAAAGGTCAGATGTTAACTTAATCCTCTTTGGGTTATCATCGAAAAAGATCAGCTGAATTGACCTTGACAAAACTGCCTGAGAGGCTTGAGGACAGACAGGCCCTTCCCTATCCATGTATACAGACAACTGCTGTTACGGGACGGGGCATTTTCTGTGCCTTTGATAGCAGGTGGATTTGTTTCTCTTGACAAGACCCTGATAAAAAAGACTTACTATCCATCTTCCATGTGCATTGAATTGTGACCTACTAACATTAGATCCTCAACCCCAGGGAGCACCAGGCTGGCGCTGAGGGGATGCATTGGGCCAACTCAATGACCGAGAGAAGAAACAGAGCATGACAGGAACCCAGGGACAGCGCCAGCAGGGCGGGCTCACCACACAGGCCTCTCCTGCCTCCACTGGGAGGCCAAGCAACAACAAGAGATAGCAAAGGCCCCTCACAACCACAGTGGGAGCAGCTGTGACCAGTCCCAGCCTGGCCACCCTGGGCTAGGTCGATGGATGCATGACCCCATTGAGCCTACCAGAGTCCTTGTCTGGGATTTTAAAAACTGAATTGGAAAAATGATTTTCTGTCTTCCCGGTGGCAATGGTGGAGGGATTGAGGCCTAGGCACCATCAGCAGCCATTTTGCCTCCCACATGGTGTGTCCAGCTTAGACGATAAGAAAGACAAGGGAGACCATAGAGAGAGTGCTCCGATGCCTGCTCCCACTTGTTCCCCAAGCCCAGCTGCATCCTTGACTAGCCATAATTTAGTCTTTTAATCACAGATACTTTGAACTAACAAGTTCCCCCTTTGCCCAAGCTAGTTTAAGTTTCCATCACTTGTCACCATGAAAGTCCTGACTCATACAGAGGAAGTGTGTGAAACATGAGTTTAGCCCTCCGCTTCCTTTTCAGTGTCCTCTCATACTTTCCTACAGGGGACACTGTTTTCCCCCATTAAACCAGCCTGCTGCTAGATCCGCCCCAAAGGCGCTGGCCCTCGGCTCTCTGCCATGTAGCTTTAAGCAAAGCTAAGAATTTAAAATTTTCTACTTTGGGGAAAAGCTGCATCTTTTTTTTAAGAATTGGAAAAGGAAGGCATTTTGATGAGCTCAGGTATTTTGAGCCAGAGATGGTCTTCCAGCTGTTGGCCATGTGGCACCTCAGGTTGAGGCTAGTGGGTTAGGAATGGAAGGAAAGGGTGTTTGTGGAACCCTCATGACAGACATGACAATGTGTGTGACACATTTTACAAAACATCCTTTTCCAGTAAGCCTCACAATCAGTGACATGAGAATCGCTACTCCATTTTGTAACGCAGTTGAGAAATACCATAATTTTAATGTTTTCTAATCCTTTCCTTACACATATCCTCTCAAACATTAAACATCCATGGGAACTACCTATGGCCCTCCCTGGAGGGTAAGGGAAATATGCCTGGAAAAAAGGAGGGGGTCTTGGTGCTCTGAGTTCAAAGGTAGATTTTAAAAATCTATAGCAGTTTCATTTCACTTTGAAATGAAAAAGCCAGGCAGTTGAATAAGTTTCTTTTTGTATCTAAAAGCTTGTTTCTAAATACTAAGCATCAAAGACAAGAGGATGACCTAGAATCCTGGGGTCTGCAGCTCTAGCCTTGAGGAGGAGGATGTTTAGAAACAAAGTTTTATTGATACAGTTTCACCCATTTGTTTCTGTTTTGTGTGTAGCTACTTCTGCCCTACAAGAGCTGCACAAACTGGATGGTTTCCAAAGCCTAAAATATTTACCATCTGACCCTTTTTGGGAAGTTTGCTGACCTGTGTATAAATCATAGGAGGGGGAAGAACGCAAGAATGTTTTCTCCCCCTAAAAGGAGATAGAGGTTTGACCTTCAGGAGGAAGGGAGAAGTTTAAAGATGGATGACTAGAGTTTAGAACATTCTGAGCCCCGGAGAATGGCAGAGTCCACTGTCCTGAGCTAAGTCCAGAAGAGTGCTACAGAGAGTTGGAAGGGATTGGGGGACTGGAGGTGACCACAAGAAGGATCTGAAGGTAGCCTCAACAGAGTAGTCTGCAGGAACATCTGGAGGTGCCCTGTGTCCCCTGAAAGGGCTGGAGGTGACTGAGAGGAGTGGGAGCCTGGGTGAGGTGCCTCAGTTATGACATGGGAGTGCCATCAATAATGGGCTAGACCATCCATGCTGGGTACCCCAGCAGGACGAATGCATCAGCAGAGACAGCACGGTGCCAATAGGCAAATGCCTGCAAGACCTGAGCATGCCACTGAAACCAGAGGAACCTCCCCCAACCCCGGGCTTGCCCCAGAGCGCTGCTTGTGGCAATGCAGTGCCAGCAGCAGCAGGTTATGGGCACTTTCCTGCCCACCACCAGTGCCCCCCCCACCGCCACCCCGCTCCCCGGGGCTTAGGCTGTAGGCAGAGGCTAGCAGTGATGGCTGGTGGCAGTGATTTCCCTATCATGCTGCCCCAGGGCAGGCAACTGTTGGTTCTGGGCTGCAGGGAGGAGCATGGAGCCCCACTGGGCTGGCTCCAGTGCTGTGGCTTCTCCAGCTGCAGGCCCTTAGAGAGGCCCATGGACTTGGTGACTGGATGGTAGAATGGACTGTCAGGTGTGAGCTGTGAGCTGGTTGGTAAATTATCCAATCAGCAGTAGGATTAAAAATGGTCCAATCAGACTCGAAGGTGGGAGGCCCTGAAAGGGGATATAAAGCAGGACAGGGGCCGACATGGGACAGGTTGGGCTGTCTCAGACTTGCTCTGACTCCAGTGACTCTAACTGTCCTTGTCTTCCAAAGAAGAAAGAAGCATCCAGCAGCTGGCCTCCAAAGGAAGAAGAGAACCCAAAGAGCTTTGCAGAGGACAGGCTGGCCGCGCCTGCCTTGGGCCTGCCTCTGACACTGCCTGAAAGGAGTAGCAAGGCCTCAGCCTGGTGTCCCAAAGAGCTATTGTTGTTGATGTGGCCAGCACCTCACAAAGAGCTGTAACTTTGGTGTTTCTGACACGGCTGCCTCCTAGTGACCAGGTGACCAGCACTGCTGGCCAGTGTTGTCCAGCACTGTTGATGGGTGACTGGCACTCTATGTCCGGGTCACCTCTGAGAGCTGTTGATTGTCTGGGACTGCCTCCTGCTGCCTGGTCCACCATCTGCTGCTATCCCGACCTTCAGACTATGGCTAAGGGCTGTTGTGGCGTCATCTCAGGCCCCGCCTGTGAGCACCTCCAGCTGCGGTGAGTTGGGTCCTGGGCCCCTGCTACTGGCTGCCATGAGCTCCAGGCCCTTATTGGCAGGACAGCACAAAATGGCCTTTTGTTTGGGACTTCTGGACACTGTAGACACTATCTGGCATGAGATAGCCGGTCACTTGTGCCCTTAAGAAGTTGTTTCCCAATTTGTTAAATAAACCCCATTATTCTCTGAACCTGAGTGGTCTTGCAGTTGTGAATGCAGGTGAAAACCCACCGACAGTGACCTGTCCTCGATTGGGCACTGTCCTTGGATGGCTATGGTCCTGCTATAGCCCCCCTGTAGCACTGTTTCACCACGTGTCCTAGATGCCCCACTCTCACCACTGGGAAAATTTGGAGAACCTCTATTTCACCCTGGAGGGGAGGAGATCAAGGATGCAATCACTGATTAAGTGGTTTCCAAAAAGTGCAGTGTGGTCTTGCTGGAGGGTTTATACCTACCCCACTATTGTTTTGTTTTGTTTTTTTTAAGACTTATTTACTTATGCATACAAGAAATGGGACACAGGTCACCAGAGACAGAGTGGGAAACAGAACAGGCAGACTGACTGAAATACACTGCTGAGGGGAGCAGCGGGCGAGACAGGAGCGGTCTGCTGTGCCATGTGGGTAGCACTCTGGCCGGGGATCAAACGCATGCTGCAGAGGCTGTGGATAGCTTCATAGTGCTGTGCTTAACCCCTTGCACCTCCCGGGAGGCCCTCTACCCCACTGTTAACAGAAGTTCTGCCCAATAAAGTATCATCATCAGTAGGCCAATAATATTAGAGTCTAAGTGTAGGGAGGAAAAAATGTCAGGCTTTTCTGCCCTCCCGCCATGAGGATAGATGATGGATCCTTGCGGTCCTGAATGCATGCCTGATGGCGGGCACCTGGAGTAGGGTGTGGGCATAGGTAGATGGGATTCACCTGGGCTGAGACTGGGCTTTTAAGGGCGGCATCATGGGGACGCCAGTAGCAGCCGAAAGAGAAGCTGAGAAAGAAGCAGCACAAGTTGGGAAGTGGAAAAGCAGGAAAACAAAGAAGCAGAGAGAACGCCGGAGAGCCCAGATAGAGTGAGGATTTGCTGGGGGCTGGGAGTGTTATAGAGCAGCCCCGATATTGAACGGGTTCCTGGCTGTGGGTCCTCACCCACGCGCTTACAAGGGACTTATGAATACTCCACTACAGACACACACAAGATTAATAAAAGGTTTATTTACAAGGGAAAAGGAAATAAGGAAAATGTACAACTCAGGGAGAAAATAGGGAAATAAAGTCTTTAATGCGTCCTACCCGATCCGACGACCTGGAAACCCAAAGTCACTCTCCGAGCTGGCCGGACGCTGCGAGCTGGCGGGGAGCCAAAATGGGGGACCCCTCCAAAGCCCACGTGTCTGCCTTTTATATCAACCTGGCTGCTTAACCCCACCCTCAGGTCCCAGCCACCTTCCCTTTGGTGGGGATGGGATTTGGAGTTCCCAGTGTCTTTGGCTTTGGCCTGGGGTGGGGGTGGAGTCCACAAAGCCTGTATGGAATTAGCTTTAGGACATCCTTTTCCCCCTAACAGGAGGACTGCCAGCCTCCTGGCCCCCCAGCACCCCTACCTGCCATGTACCCGGTAAATCCCCAATAAAAGCCTGAAAAGCCACTGAGGACTCTGACTCCTCCTTTACCGGTCTACACGGGATCAGAAAACCTGCTCAGTGGTCTTCCTGACCCCTTACACGAAGTCTGCTCTGCCTAACAGAACTTTCTTCTATAATGAGATGTTCTGTATCTGCTCTGTGCAATGAAGGAACTGGATTTTTAATTTTGACTTTTATTAGGTTAACTGATAACTTAAATTGCCACAGTACAGATCTAAGAAACGGGATTATTTTTCCTAGGTGCAAAATGTATTAATGCCACTTTTTTTTTTAAAAAAGATTTATTTATTTATACAGCACTTGGTACAGTCAGAAGCGTGGGAGGGTGAGAGGACTCACCAGAGCCAGAGCAGGGAACAGAACAGGCAGACCAATGAAATACACTGCTGAGGGGAGCAGTGGGCGGCAGGAGAGGTCCGTGTGCCATGTGGGACCCTCGCCCGGTGGCTGGGGATCGAACCAGCACTATAGAGGCTGGGGGCAGCTTCGCAACCCAGCGCTCAACTGCTGGGCCACGGGGAAGGCCCTTAATGCCACTTTAAAAAGGAGTAACTAAAGATTGTCCAGGTTTAGGGATAGTGGACATCACGATCTCTCACTTCTATTCCCCCTCAGTCTTGTTCTGAAGTAAATTCCTGAATTGTTCTGGCAGGTTCTCACAGGTAATGCAGAACAGAGAACCCAGATGAAAGCAGCAAAACACAGGTAATTTGATATGGGGATGCTTCGAGAGCTTTCATTTTGATCCTCAAGGCCAAAGAGATCTGAGATGAGGAAAAGCACATCAAGAAGGAAACCCAAGGTAAGGAGTAAAAGGTGTAGGGCGGAGAGGGGAGTGGGTGTGCAATGGTGTTATCAGCTCAGCTGCCAGGTTCTCTGGCTTTCAGTCCCCAGAGCTCTCAGTTTCTCCTGAGCTAGCTCACACACCCAGTTGCCTCTGGACTGCCCTCACCCCTTCTTTCCTCCCTGTCCAAGCCTGTAATGACTGACTCCAGGGGCTCTAGTTCCACTGTCTCCTGTGACTTGTCATTCACAGAACTGTGAGTGGTAATTTGCCAACCTCCATCCAAGTTTCTTTTTAAAAGCAGGAGATGCTGGGTGTAATGTTACATCGCTAAGAATCCTTAGACAATAGAAAAGGAAATGGAATTTACCCAGGGAACAAAAGAGTTTGCAGCTCACAGCTCTTTAGCCCTAGAAAACACTGTGGAATCAACTTCAGGGCTCTGGGGGGACAGAGATTGTACCCAAAACAGGGAAGGGGCTTGTTGCAGGAGAAGCCCACCGCTCAGTGCTTAGCAGCTCCAAATAGGGCATTTGCCCTCATGCCAAACTGGGATTAAGGCAAGGATGCGAAAGGCTGTGGTTCCTCTGCTCCACAGACCCAAGTGGAGGCAACAGAGTGGTTAGGAGCTTGAACCTGAAGGCAGACTTCCGGGGTTCACATTCAGCTTAACCAGGCCCCCTCCTGAGCCTGTTTTCCATTTGAGTGAAGACAATTATCAGGTGCTTTTATTTTATTTATTTATTTTTGAGAACTTAAAATGATGCTGCCTGGGAAGCACTTAGCATAGTTCCTGGCTCAGGTACACTCAATAATTGTCAGCTCATGTGTTAGTTGAATATGCTTCACCTGGCCCCGTGGGAGGGTATGGAAGAAAGCAGCCGAGGTCTGTACTTTGGAGAGGAGTCCCTCCAAAGCCAGCATAGTGTCTCTTTTCTTAGAAATGCAGGCTGAAAAATGCGCTGGTTCCCTCCTTCCCCATCTTTACGTGGCTCAGGAGACTACTGTTCTAGACTATGGAGTTGGAAAATCCCTTCCAGTGGACAAAAAGAGATAAGGGAAATGACTTTCATCTTGGATGACAGAGATGAACAAGTTATATAATGTGACTCAAATACTGTGCCTCCCTGCTTTGGGATTCTCAGCCATGGGACAATGAGGTGCAGGAGTTAGCTGGAGCTGCAAATCACAGGCAGCTACATCTGGAGGATTTAACAATCCTACTTCAGAAATCAGGTTTCCCTGTCACTCCTTCCTACCAGCCCTTTTGTGGCCTGTGAGGAGTTTGTGGGAATGCTAGTCCCCTGGACATGTTCATTTCACAAAGAAAGGACTCAAGTCAAGGGCTTGGAAACAGAGTGGAGTGGTGATGTGGGTACCTGCAAAGGAGCAGGGATGGGGGGTGGGGGGGGGATCAGACACCTGCCCTAAAGGAAAATTGTTGATCATCAGCCCATGAGACTTCATCTTAACCCTGACACCTGCTGAACACCCCCTCACCCTCTACTTGGAAAACAGTCATGGTCCTCAAATTAGGCCAAATTTAGTCATAAAAACACAGTTCCTGTCCACAGCCCTTGGTGAGGACAATCAGCGAGGCTGACTCTAACTCCTCTGCTCTTGTTCTCCTTCCGTCAGGACTAGAGACAGTTCTGACTTCTGTATTCCCCAAAGACTGAGAATTTGCCTGAGTATATTTCAGAAATGATTTCTCAGAAGTCATGTTGGTCTCAGGTATTTTTGTGGTTAAGAGATTTATTGGCTGTTGTGCCCAGCGTCGACCAGTGCAGCCCCCAAGGACACAGACAGCCGATGCAAGAACACAAAGGAGTTTATTACAGGCTCGAGTCCAGGCTCACGATGCACACCGATGCAACAGCAGAGGTTGAGAGCCCCAAACAGAAGAAGCAGGGGTCTTAAATAGGGTCACAAGCAGGCGCGAATTTTGAAATAAGCTGGCAATTACTCATTGGCTACTACAAAGGCATTTTGGCGCACGCAGTTAGTTTCAAACTGATTGGATGGTTAGAGACACTGTCCCATTTATGGACAGGACTGCCCTCATTGGCGGCTGGGGTGGTCTGCTTTGTTGTCACCAAGTGGAGTGAGGGTTGTGACTGTTGAAACTATCTCTGGAATGCGGCTGTACAAGGACTAACATATCAAGGTGGAGGATATACAAAATGGCGAAACCTCAGCTAAACTTGGTTCCACATTGGCCAGTTTGAATTAAGACCCAAATGGACTCTATAAGCTGCATCTACAGTGCTGCATAGTATATTCCTTACTACTCATTCCACTCGATCCCCAACCTGGGAATCCTGTATCTGAGGTCAGGGGCTTACTTTGCTTGCAAAGTGGTCTGTGGGAGTCCCAATGTTCCTGCTGCCAGTGGGAACCAAGACTGATTATGTAGGGCCAGGCAGGGGCACCCAGGGAAACACAACCACTTGTTATTTGGAAGGAACCTCAAGCCAAGCTCTGGTCTATGGCTTTGAAGAAATTGAAAAGCAGTTCATCTGAATCCACATATTCTGAGACCCATCTGAGCTGTGCCTGTGAGAGGTTGGTGGGTGGGAGGATAGAGAACTGAAGGCTTTCACAGCTTCCTTTGGGCCTTGCTGCCTGGGCTCAGGTGAATGGAGGGGGGTGGGGGATGGGGAAATAGGTGCTGTTTGGGAAGACAGTGGCAGTCCTGTGCAATCTCCCACTGCCCTGCTCTCTCCCATTTGCAAAAACAGGGGCAATACCCCATGTTGATTATACATGGTCCCCAACCCTCTTGGTCTGGCAGAACCGGGTAGGACACAAGAACATGCCTGTCAGGCTCTAGGACAGAGTTTATCTGTTGTGTCCATAGTAACAGTTATCACTGAGCTCTCATTAGCAAGCAGGCCATGAGTTAAGCAGCTGACTTGCATTCTTCACTCAGGATGGAGCTGACATTCCACATCAGCTGGTCACTGCCATTTTCCACTCCCCTGCCCATTCACTGACTTTTCCACATCTGTGTACAGTATCTGTCATTGTTCTTCAATAACAGGAATCAAGCCTTTTCCACATCTTTATCTCCTACAAAGATTAGTTCAGGGACTTGTTGAAAATATTAAGTAAACATCCTCCCCTTACCGGATGTGACCTGCTGTATACCCACCACACTCAGTGTCTTTTGGTGGCCTGAACAAATGACCTTGTCTTATCTCACATGACCCTGCCACCCTAGGTCAGAGGTTGGTGACTGAGTCTAAGGTAGCCCAATCAGAACCTCACTCTTGGGAAATTTGGATTAAAGATCTACAGAGGGAGTCCATCAGCTGATGGCAGCCAAAGGAGAATCAAATTGACTCACCAATGTGGCAGAAAGTGGACAGCGATGTCTGCCCACGTGTAAGAGGCTAGAGCTATTCCATCCTTGAATGATGGAGCCCTGAGGCTTCATTTGTCCAGCTAAAGTTACATGCTATATTTAGGAACATGGTTTTTATAGCCAGTGTCCAAATGTGTACATTCTGTACAATACTTTGGGAACATAAACCAAAATGAAGAGCCAAGCAGATAGTTTCTTAGCTGAACCCTTTGTTTTGAAACTTAGGAAAATGCCAAGCACTGTTCATTGACTGTACCTTCCTCCTGTGTCTTCTTCACCTAACTTCAAGGTCTCACATGGCTTTCTGGAATGGGATTTCGGGCCTTGGAGTCTATTATGCTAGACTATAGGTCACTGCCTTGTTCTTTCAAGGGACTGTGGGTTGAGAAAATAAATGCTTGGGATAAGTTATATTTCTATTTGGCTAGTGAGGAGCATTCCAAGGTGGCAATAGATTGACCATGGGTCTACTGTTACCATGGGGCACTAACAGTAGATGCCTGTCAACATGAAGGGGCCTTTTTTTTTTTTAATTCTAGGTAAGTTGAATTTTTTTTCAAAGTGTGTGTTTTTCTCTGCATTATAGTTTACTTGTTCCCATATAATGGGAATTATGTTTATGCAGTACATGGACATAAAACCATATATATATCCATACAAGGAGTAAATGTGCTTATGTTGGGCATTGCCAACAAGTATGACATGACATGATAGTCAACAATAACTACATTCTAGAAAATAAAACTAGTTTTAGGTTAAGCTTATAACATGACCAGCCTGTACAGAATCTCTCCGAAAAAAATGGTGGATTTGAGGACATCCAGTCTGGATGTAGTTAGAAGAAATAAAATGTCATGGATTTTGTTTGGATATCTTAATATAAAAGCTGCCTAGAAGTTAGTGTTTCTTGAGAGTTTGTGATCACAGGTTGGTGCCTCTGGGCTGGGGCTTAAAGAGTTATGGTTTTCAAGAAGCCAAAGACTTAAGAATCTAGTCATAATGGAGCATCAGGGAGATTTATTTTTTCACATGAGGAAATTGTTTTTAAGGAAATAGAAAATACATGAAACAAAGGTTCTTAGGACACCAGGCAACCGGACAGCAACACACAGGGGCTCCTTGCTGTGGGAAAAAAAAGAAAAAGAAATGTGCCCCAATGAATGTTGCTGTTCCCCCCGGGGAGGGGCTGGGCACCAGAGAGAAGGAACCAGGTGGAGTCTAGTGACATTCTTGAGTTGAGCAGAGTTGGGAGTTCAAGGAGGACAAGGCCACAGAATTCTCAGGAGTCTCTAAGAAAGCTGGAGAGGGAAAGGATGCTAGAGCTCTGCAGAGGCTCCTAAGTTCCAGTCAGCTTGTGCACATGCAAGGCAAGGAACAGAAGCACTCAGCACTGCCATGATGGTATACAAACTACAAACATTAGTGGCAAACCTTATGTGACTTCAATTTGGGGATATTAAATATTACTCTCTATTTGACAAATAAGATCAGTTAGTAAAAAAAAAAAACCTCTTTGGGCCTCCCCTGGTGGTGCAGCGGTTGATCGCTGGGCTGCGAGGCTGCCCGCAGCCTCTGCAGCGCCAGTTCGTTCCCCGGCCGCCGGCGAGAGTCCCACAAAAAACAACAAATAAAAAAACTCCTTTTTTATACT